TCTCAAAATTTTAGGGAGATAAATTATCTCAAATTTTAAGTTTTAGAGAGAAACTATCATATTTTAGAGAGAGAGTACGTGTAAATTTTTAGAGAGAAAGAATTTTTTAGAGAAAAACTATTTCAAAATTTTTAGAGAGAAAAAATCTCATAATTTTATTTTAAAAAAGAGAAACGTTATCAAATTTTACAGAGAGTACCTAAAAAGTTTTAGAAATAGAAACTGTCTAAAAAATTTTAGAGAGAGAAACTACATAAAATCTTAAGTTTTAGAGAGAGAAAGTATTCTTAAAATTGTAGAGAGAGAAAATATTCTTAAACTTTTAGAGAGAAAAAAGTATTATTTTTACAAACAAAAGAAATGGTCAAAAAAAATTTAGAGAGAGAAATATCTCGTTTTTTACAGCGATAAACTATCTCGAATTTTGAGTTTTAGAGAGAAACTATCTCGACTTTTGAATTTTAGAAAGAAAAAATATATTAAAATTTGAGAAATAGAAATTATATCAAATTTTAGAGAGAAAAACTACCTAAAAAATTTTAAAGATAGAAACTATCTCAAAATTTATGGAGAGAGATCCTACTGCAAAATTTATGTTTTAGAGAGAGAAAGTATATTAAAATTTTAGAGAGATAAACTATATCAAATTTTAAATAGATAAAGTAAATAAAATTTGTAGAGTGAGAAACTTTTTCAAAAAATATTAGAGAGAAAAACTATCTCAAAATTTAAATTTTGGAGCGAGAAATTATCTCAAATTTTAAACTTTAGATAAAGAAAGTATGTCAAAGTTTAGAGAGACACTATATCAAATTTTAAAGAGATAAACTATTTCAAAATTTTAGAGAGAGAAACTATCTACTATATCAAATTGTAGAGAGAGAAAGTACATAAAAGTTTTTAGAAAAAGAAACTGTCGTAAAAAATTTTAGAGAGAAATTATCTCAAATATTAGCTTTTAGAACGAAAAAGTATCTTAAAATTTTATAGAAAAACTACATCATATTTTAGAGAGAGAAACTACTTAAAAATGTTTAGAGAGAGAAACTATCTCAAAATTATTGAAGAGGGGAACTATCTCAAGTTTTAAGCTTTAGAGAGAGTATCTTCAAATTTTAGAAAGATGAGCTATATTAAATTTTAAAAAGAGTAAAGCACCTAAAAATTTTAGAGAAAGAAATTATCTCAAAATTTTTAGATAGACAATTTCAAATTTTAAATTTTGGATAGAAAGTATATTAAATTTTAAATAGACAAATCAGATCAAATTTCAGAGAGAGAAACTATCTCAAAAATTTTATAGATACACTATCCCAAATTTTGAGGTTTAGAGAGAGAAAGTATATAAAAATTTTAGAGAGAGAAATTGTATCAAGTTTCGTTACCAAACAATGGACATGAAAGTGATTGCAAGGAATCCATGAATTTTGTATAGTTTATCCAAAAAAGAAATTTGAGGAATCCTGACAAAATCCTTGATATTGAAAATCCATAGATTTCTTTGGATTTCAAATATCTAGGATTCCTAATTTCCTCCTATCCAAACGAGCCCTTAAAGAAAAGAAAGTATGAAGAGGTTAACTTTTTTAGTTATGTCAGTGATATCTTAATTTTATCCATTTGCACATCTTTTTTAATGGGAGTTTTCTCAAAATATTTATATCATTAATTTGTGTTACGTAGTTTTTAATCTTTTTATTTGACTTTTATCGAGCAGTACAGACTTCAATTATGTTTGTTTTTAGGATTTAGAGAAACAAAATCTAGGAGAAATAAAACTTTGAGATTATGAGAAATAAAAGTGCGTTTTTTAATATGTTTTTAAAACAACTTTGGAAAATATCTATTTAGGAAAAAGTTTATATAAGGATGCAACTTTATAATGTAGAACTACGGATGCACCTCAAAAATCCATTGGAAAAGGTAGTTTTAAAGTTGAAAAACCCTTTGATTAATCATCTCGACATCGAGATCTATAACCATGAAAAATAAAAGATTTTAAGTCTCAGAAATAGTGCATTTTACAACATATTATCTACACCGTCAATTTTCAAGATTTTCATATGTTTATAGATTTACTTGGTTTTAACCATTTTTTAAATTTAAAATTTTATAATTAGATATAAAAATAGACTTTGAGATAATCATAAAATCTTAAGAACATTTTACATCAAAATTATATACCATGATAAAATTTGAAGATGCACCTTACCTCTACAGCTACGGATGCATCCGTATGCCAACTGCACCCATCTATTTAAGGCTCAAATTGGCATACAAAATCATTAAAAGAATCTAATCATCCTATTTATGGGTGTGGTCTGTACAGAGCCGAGGCTAAAAACAGTTAAAATAAAGCACACCTTCAAAGAGTGTCCAGAAATGTGGTTTCAATACTGGAAATATATGTGATAGTCTCAAAAATATATTTCTATATCTAATTATAAATTTTAAAGCTTCAAAAATATTGTAGATCGAGCAAATCTATGAAAATCTTGAAAATCGATCGTCCAAAAATACATTACAAGATACATTATTTTCAAAACTTGAAATCCATTTTTTTCTCATGTCCATATATCTTGAGGTCAAGAGCATCAATTTGAGGATATTTAGGCATCAAAAGAACTACTAAAATTTTTGAGGTGAGCACTAATTTGATTGTTTAGAGTCTTACACTCATATAAACTTCTTCCCCTATTTATGATTGTGAATGTTGCTTCTTAACTTTCATTTCACTCAGATACCTTTTAGAAAAAATATCAAAGTGCAGGTTCGGAACTTCTTTTGAATTGATCTTTCATACTATAAAAAAAGAAAAAGAAAAGAAAAACGAGAGCAAATACAATAGTTTGTCACCTTCAAATTCCATATTAATAAACCTAATTTTTTTACTAAATTGGTTCCAAACTTGAAGTTCCTAATTTTTGTAAAACGTAAAGACTTAAATGTTTCCAAAAAAGAAAATTATATAAACAGACCCCTCCAATTAGTATTTTGGGAAAAAAAATTATAAACGAAAGTAAAATAGGAAATGGTTTTGCTTCTCTCTCTTGGTGGTGAAATAGCAAGGGTAGAAATAAAAAAATGTGAAACCTCGCTTCCCGGTTCTTACTGTTTCTATCTCTAACTCTACATCCTCTCTTTCTTTCTCAATCAGCCCTTCTATTTCCCTTATCCCCTGCCCCTTCAATCCCTCGCTGTTTACTTGGTACAACAAAAAAATTAATGTCTTTTGTTTCCTCTTTCATTCTCTATTATTTCCCTCTATTGAACAATCTCCCAACAAACCTCTCTTTCTCTCTCTCCCCCTCTCTCTTCTCCCCTTCACAATCTCAATCTCCCTCCTCTTTTATCTTCTATTTACTTTGTCATTTGATAATGCTCCCCTTCGTTCTCCCTCATTTGATAATGCTCCCCTTCGTTCTCTCTCATCCCAATCTTTTTATTGCTCCTTATTTTCCCAGCTGAGCAGTTCTCTTGTGTTTCCATCTATTCATCATTGTTGGATCATAATTCTGCAACACTTTACGATGTTGGATGTCCCGTCGCATTGAGGGATGGGCATATAATGGAAATTATCTTTCAAAAACAGGTGGTTTTGAAAAGTGAAAAAGATCACTTGTTCATCAAGACATTATCCGATGAGAATAGGAAGTAATTGATATGGGTAGATATTTCTTTTTATCTTTCTAAAATGAAATAGAGATGAGCGACATTTTATTTATGGGATATTCTTTCCAATATGATCATTATCCTATTGGTCCATATAAAAAAGAGAAACGTGAGAGAGAGTTGGTAGACTCTTTTTGGTATATTGAAAAAAATATATATATGAAGCCTTCTTTTCTTGAGAAGAAAAAGAGACAGAGTTTTTATTTTTTTGGGAGAGAGAGAAAATTTCTATAAAAGAAAAAAACCTTTGAGAGAGAGAAGAATATCAGAGGAGAACTTAGAGAGAGAAAATATAGAAGGAGAAAACCCTCTAGAAGAAACCAGAGAGCCCAAGAAAGTTTGTTTTTTAGAAAACTATTGTAGCCTGTAAAGGTGAATCATGTAAATTTCGATGCCAGTAAGTTTTATTTGTATGTTCTCTTACTCATAGACACACATAACGACATTGCCATATTTTTGTGTCCCATATATCTGCCTACCCCTACATGCATCCGTATTCGTAGGAGAGAGCTCTAATTGGGTGAGCCCAACAAGTGGTATTAGAGCCAGGTAATGGCTGTAACTTCACTCCTGAGCATATGCGCGCGATAGAGACAAGGTTCGGTGGTTTTCTGTTAGTCCCGCTTTTTTTTTATCACAGTCACTGCTGCTAGGCTCTGCCCTCACTTTGAATTTTTGATTAATTGGGATTTGTGGTGGCTTAACCGATGGTGGATAGCTTAATCGATGTTGGATAGCTTAACTGAAGGTGAATAAATTAACCAACGGGTGATAGCTTAACCGACGGGGGATAGCTTAACCAATGGGGGATAGCTTAACCGATGGGGATAACTTCACCGATGGGGAATATGGCTTAACTGACGGGGATGGCTTAACCGACAATAGATAGCTTAACCAACGGGGGACATCTTAACCGACGGAAGATATCTTAGCCGATGGGGATACCTTAACCGATAAGGGATACCTTAACCGACGAGGGACACCTAAATTGAAATGGGATACCTTAACCGACGAGGGACACCTAAATTGACATGGGATACCTTAACCTACGACGACACCTAAGCTGACATGGGATACCCTGACAGCTAGGAGATACCTTAACTGACGAGGGATACCCTGACAGACAGGGGATACCTTAACCGATGGGGGATACCTTAACCAATGTTGTCCGTCTCAGGGTCATAGAAATTTAGCACTAACCCTCGATATGTACCCCAGGCTCATGTTACCTGTTTTTGGTCTCTGGAGTCCAGAGATAAATAAATAAATAAACAAACTTGTGAAGAAAATGTATATGCAATATAATATCTCTTATAATGGTGATTTTAGACAAAAATATATATATATTACAAGTAGCGTAAAATGCGGATGCCCAAGAGCCAAGAATTGGGGTTAATTTGTTTGGAACAATTAGTTTGTGATGATGTTAAGAAGGGAAACACGGCTTCTAATCATGCGATTGCTGATGCCACCCAACCGATCATCAATGTTCCTCATGAATTCGTCCAATGAGGCCAATTTTCTTTGGGCATCCTTGGCACACTTCTCATCAACTTTGCCGGAGTTTCTATAGATGGAACACACGGAAGCATTTGCACATTCCCAATCACTGGTTCCCTCATTTTGCTGCGGGGTCTTGTGTCTGAAGATGGTGGATATGATCGATTGGCTTTTCTTTGGCATTTTGAATTTCAGAAGCTGAGATTCACACACAAAGAGAGAGGCAGATTCCACTTGGCTCAAGGCAACCACCACATCCTCATTTTGTAGGGAACGATTTTGTGGGAGCCGAGAAGAGATCGATCTTCGAGTTCTTCTCAAGGTGCTTAGACATTTTTCCAACTCCTTGTTCATCTTCCTTCGGACTGAGATGTAAGCTCCAACTTCGCCTTCCAACCGTGCGCAGTCTCTCCTACACAGAGAAGATAGAACAATTCAATGTTGCTGTCTCAAACGGGATATGACATCTCTCATTGCGCTGCAAACATCTGCCAATTTAAGAGAGTCCTCAAGCATCTCATTGACTGATTTATCTTCCGAACGGAGGACATCAAGGGTGTGTGGCAATTGAAGAAGACAATTGAAGTTGTCATACAATTCTACAAGAGAATCGGCGAGGCACTCCACCTTTTGTTGAACAGAGCCACTAATCCGGTGTAACTTCTCATTCAATTGGCACAAGACCGGGTGAGAGCCAATGGGCAAGCTATTGGAACAAACATGGTATGGCATCGGGGCATCTATTGCACAACTCTTAAGGTTCAGACTTCAGTTCCAACCTTTGGGGCTTGGAGACTTAGCTTGTGACTTTGCCTCATATAACCAAAGAGAGTTGTTTGTGGGCAGGAGACCAAAGGAATGGTAGTTAATACTTGCGTCCTGGTGAGAGATCCAACTTGTTTCAATGCCTTCACAACCTCATTGGCAGGCGCAGCTTCATGTCCTTCAAAATGAAACGATCTGCTAATTCCTTTCAAAGCTCTCAGACATTTTGCTAGCTCCTTGATCATCTTCCTTTGGGCCGAAAAGTAGGCTTGAACTTGGCCCTCTAACCCATTATAGTCTCCGCTACGAAGAGCAGACAGTACACATTGTTGTTGCTCTGTCATCCAGCACAGTGTCTCTTACTGTGCTGCACACATCTAGCAACTTAAGGGAGTCATCCAGCATCCTCTCAATCAACTGATCTTCTTTGTGAAGGTCTGTTGAAATTTTATGTATGAGGCTATGATATAAACACAAACACTTTCTTTCTTGGAGTGATAAACACAAAATTGAAGTTTACTCAACTTTTTCCATACGTACACACTATATTTTTCCACACACACTATATTTTTCTACATACACTACATTTTTCCACACACAACCACAAAAACATTTCAATTCAAGGAGCCCAAATATATAGGCGAATACAACACAACTGCCCACTACCTAAATAACTACCCATTGCCTAGATAACTACCTATTAAATCCACTTTGTTCATCATCTTTAACAAACTGCCCATACACCACTATCCATGTATTTATCTACGTGGAGAAAGATATAACTACCCATATACGTAGAGATAACTACCCATATATTTCTATTATTTTACATCATCTTCAATAAGGGCTATATGGGTTAGCGGCAATCGGAGATCATCCAATTCATTGTACAGATCCACAATGTAATTCGACAGGTATTCACTTGTTTGTTTGGTTACCAATTCACAAGCACTAGAGCTCAACAATTGCTCATTCAATTGGCACAAAATAGGGTGAGATCTAGAGGTAAGGCTGCTAGAACGAACGTGGAATGATATTTTCGCCTCCATTTTCCCAATGGAAGTCTGGTAATCAAATTCATGTAGCAAAAGTTTCGAGACAGCGCCTTATAAACAAGCTTGAGAGGGAGACCAAAGGAAACCATGTATAGAATTCGAGTATGGTGTTGTTATCATGTGCGAACTGCTCTTTTAGGTATTCCTTTTCTGCAGGCCGAATGGGAGAGGAATCGCCATGTCTGCTTAGAATCAGGACGAGATCCACAATGTTGAGTCTCTGAGCTATCATGGATGCATTGTTAATGTTGAATGCACGTGTGGCACCATGTCTTGGAGTCACATATCTCTCTCTCCCAAGTTAGGCCAGTTAGCTCCCTTGTTTGAGACCGCTTTTGCAGGTCTCAGTTTTCATTAATTGGGGAAACAAATTGCGAGATTCTTGTGTCCTATCCTGAAAATGGTGTATCAAATGAATTTTAATTTACAAGATAAAGTACACAAGGGTTCGCATGAGAACACTAATATATTGGCACTTGTGTCTTTTACCAACAATGGATTCACATCGATAGAGGAATGGTAATGTCAACAACCACACCAGTTAAATCTAGTGGTTAGGGGTGCCAATGGGTCGAGTCGGGTTTGGGTTGAGTTGGATGTGGACCCAACCCGGCCCCAACTTGGGTCCAGGGTTCTAGACTTGGGTCTCAATTGGTTTGGGTCTAGATCTAGAACCTAATAAAAAATGTTTAAACAAATATTTAAAAATTACGTATAAAATGTTGGTATGTGTGGGTGGCCATGAGGGCCTCCCATGTGCTATATTTTTCTCTAATTAATATTTATCTGAGGTTTTTTTCAGTATTTATCACTAAAAAGCTTTTTGAAAGATAAGATGGTATTTCCAACAGGTAGAAGATAATTACCCAGCTCTCAGTTAAAGAGGTCCACCTACTCAGAGATTAAGGAAAACTTAACGTTCGTGAACTGCCTCCTCCCATCTCTCTATAAATTTGGGTTTCATGGCTATGGAAAGACACACATCCCTCTATAATTAATTGTTTCATGACTATGAACAAGCACACAGAGAAAAATACATATTTAATTGTTTTGAAAATCCTTGCACTCTACGATTTACAATGGGTTCATCTCTTCCCTTCAAAAGTTCAACATTGGTATCAGAGTAAGGTTCCTACTCTTCAATCATCGGAAAAACCTATCATCGAGTTTTCTCTTGCATTATCTGCTCATCGATTATTTGGTTCCTTTGAGTTTGTATTTTATGTTTTATTGTCATGCTCCGTCTTATTTGACACGGAAACAAAAATGAACAATTTCTTAAAACTCTTTTTCTTCGATATCACTTCTCTATTTGCTCTGTTGAATTTTCTTATAAATATGAAATGCTTTTCTCCTATGAGATTTCTTATTTAATCCTCTAATCCGACTCCACTGATTTCTCTCTCTATAAAGAGAATCTAATTAAATACAGTTATGTCAGGTGTAATGCCATGAGGTTTCCACCTAATAGTAAGACAAAGTATTCTTGATTATATACCAAGTATGATAAAGTTTCAAATATTTTCAATTTGAATAAAGCAAACCCACCAAAGAAATATTTGTCCCTTTTTTTAATTCGACATCAAAACCCTTTTTTTTCTAACCCTTTAGATCTTAGGGTTCCACACGTTGCAGTCTTGAGAGGATATTTATACGCCACGGCGTGTACACCAAAATTTCGCTAACCTGTTTGATCCCTTCCGCTCTCTCTCTACCGTAATTGGATTTGGGGTGCGTGGTTTTCTTATTAGCGAAGAGATCCTACGTCTTTTACGTTTTGCATCCTGTATTCTGTTAATTGTCCACCTCTCTCATTTTTTAAAGGGAATTTCCTAGTCGAAAAGTAGGTCAGGGATCTCCTGAATTTTTTATACTCCTGTAATTTTAGAGAGAAGAGAAGAACAATGGCTGAGAGAAAGATAGAGCTGCTGCTCTAATTTTAAAAAGAGAGATAGAGCTATTGCTGAAATTATAGAGAGAGACAAAGAGACACAAGTACAGCTGAAAATCAGTAACTAAAATAAAAAAAGCTCGTGTTTTTTATACACATTATTCTGATTTATATATTTATTTTGTATGTTTGGTTTATAATTAGGGATAAACCTACATATTCTATTTGCATCATAATTGTCATTGCCTTGTATAATTATCATATGCTTTGGTCTCTTTAAGTGAAAAAATTTTATGATCTTGATTTTGTGAATTCATTTTTTGAGATTATGTTATACTATAATTTTATTGAAAATATCAAATATCGTTGTAGACTGTCACTCTAGATCTAAAACATATTAGCCTTGTGCAAGAATTGACATAAAGTAGTTTGTTGCTAGAGCTAAAACATATTAGTCTTGTGCAAGAATTGACATAAAGTAGTCTATTGCTTTACGTTTTTTCTAAGTTGTTGCGTCACTGTAATGCGAACATAAACTGTTCGAGAGAATTCTTCATTGAAGTTACTGCCTATATAGAGTCGGCAACGTATTGCTTTGACTAGCAGACGACCTTTTTCTTAAACACAATTAAATTTTTGAGCTTTTAGGAAATTGTCTAAAATTTAAATTGCCATCTAGGTTAGTCATGTAAGAATTATCAAAACTTGAAAAACTCAATAGAACTATTTTTTCTATGTGAAAAAGAAAAATTATATATGTTCTCTTCCAAGATTGGGTTGATGATGTTCTAGATACAGATTCACCAATTTTATAGCCTAATGCTAATGGTCAAGTAAGAAGGCAAGTTGACAAATGGTTAGAAGATAATAACATAGTTGGGACTACAATGTTGAGTTTTATGGAAGGTGATTTAATTAGAGTCTTTGAGGACTACGCCACAACTCAAAGTATGATTGGTGCCCTATCTGAAAATATGAGATATGAGACACATTTACAATTTTTTTTTGAAAAATATAATTCTTGCATAATGAAGGAATCAGACTCAGTGACCGCGCGTGTCAACAAAATGTCAGTGCTTGCAAATGACCTTACAACGACCGAGAATCCAGTTCATGATCGCATGTAAGTGTCTATTGTCTTTAACAGTCTCCTACAATCTTGGAAGCATGTTGTAATTGCATTGAACTATTTTCTACAAGAGATAACTATGTTAAATCTTTTCATGCACCTCAGTATTGAATCTGACAGAAAATGAGGAATAATTCAAATAAGTTCAACTTTTCTCAAAGTTCATATTCTCATATTCCCAAGAAACCTTACAATAATCAAAACAATAACAACAATAAGTATAAGAAAAAGGGAAGAAATTTTAAAAATAAAAAAAAGAATGTTGAGAAGACCTATTTTTATTGTAAGAAATTGAGCGCATAAAATTTAATTGTCCTAAGCTGAAAAATAATAACAACAATACGTAAAATAATAATAATAATTAAAATAAAAGAAAGAACTTGATCTGGTAGTCCTAGAATCTTTAGTTGCTGACCATGACCTGAGGAATTGGTGGGTCGACACAGCCTCCACTCGACATGTCTCGAGGATCAAGGATAGATTTAAGGTGTTGAAAGAGATAGGAACCGGTAACCAACATATTTATATGGGGGAATGACAGCTACTGCGATGTACTTGGTGTTGATACTTTTAAGTTGTGTTTACCAAGAGGAATGAATCTCCTATTGACTGATACTTTGTATGCGTCTAATATAAGGCGTAATTTGCTTTTTGTACTTAGGCTAGACGACATGGGTTACGAAATAAGGTTCAGGTCTGGTTGGGTTACCATTGGTAAACATTCTCGAGCATTGATGTATGGTACTGCAATTTGTACTGATTGAACATTAATGAAAGTTCATCCTATTCTGGTTATATTGATGCCTCTTTTGATGTTTGTGTCTGTGTAATTATATTTATGGCACTTAAGATTATGACATATAAATAAATATAAAATGAATCAAATAGTTAAAAGAGGCATGCTCCCCAATTTAAGAGAAATTATGTTCAAAACATGTGAGTCATGTATTTCTAGTAAATTAACTAAGAAGCATTTTCCTAAAGAACAATGGTATAGTGAATTATTTAGTATTTTTCACTCAGATATATGTGGCCCATTAAAAGTAAAAACACATAGAGAACTTCTTAGTATTGTTCATAACATCTATAGATGATTATTCACGTTATGGATGTGTACTTAATTAATAGAAAATCATAAGCATTAGAAACATTTAAATAATATAATTCTAAGGTAGAAATTTAATATCATAAAGTAGACAAAAACACAACAATAGTACTTATAATGATTCTTAAGGCTTTCTAATCAATGAGAATACTTTTAGTGACTTCACATGCCACACCTTCGGATTTGTTGCGGAAAAGAAAGTAAGCATCCTCTTATAGAAACACAATCTCTCAACTCAAAAAGAGTTTCTCTCTTAAACTTTTGAATCTATAAATAGACTAAAAATTGTAAAATGCTATTTACTACAGACCCCAATTCATACCATTTAGTGAGTCAGTGAACTAATGACATTCACATCACAACACAGTTCATACAATAAAAAATCAAGATGAATGTCCACCAATAAAATAATATTTTCACTCAATCTATAAAGAGATTATTCTTCAAACATTTTATGCTGAAAACTGGACTCAAAACCATAACTCAATATCAAGTATAGAAATAAATAAAAGACATTCACATCATAGTAAAATAGAACTAACTATACAAATTCAAGATGACTTTCTCCAATAAAATTATATTCTCTTAATGCCCATGGAGTTTCTCTTATAAATAGTTTT